TGGAGCAGTTACCAAGACGTTTAAAGATTCCTGCTCTGTTACCTACCAGAGTAGCACTAATTAAGGTGCATGGCTAATGTGAAATAGTAAGCCTCCCGTGCCAAATTAGAACTATGTATTCTGTTGGAGAGAGATAAACATCATTTAGTCTTCAGAATGGCATGGTTCAGAAGCTAAAATCTGTAGACTGGTTTCAGTTGGTAGTGAGGTGGAACACGTACTCAAACTTCCCTGTGTTCAGACTTTCTTAAAAAAGTTTTTACATGTTGTGAGAGGGTTTGTTGCTGTGATTTTGAACTGTTTGTTAGGATGTTGTTCACTGCGTGTTTATAATATAGCTAGGGTACTGGGCTTCAACTAAATACCTTTTTGATCCATAGGTCAGATGTATCAACAGTACCAACAGCCTGGTTATCCTGCTCAGCAGCCGCAGGCTCAGCCTCAGCAACAGTATGGTATGCAGTACCCAGGTAAGCAGCTCTCTCAAACGGCAGTTTCGCTGTTGAACCTCTCCTTCGGTGCCCGACCCTGTGAGCTTCAGTTCCTGAACCTGTGGGGCAGGCCAGGGTGCTGAGCAGCCTGAGTGCCGGTGCTTCTGATGGGAACTGTCACAATTCAGAAATTACCAGTAAGAGAACACTGTAGCTGTCTATATTTTTAGTATGTAGTTGGAGTTCTGGTATCTCAATCCTACTTGATTGTGACCAAAAGCAGACTACCGTTATTAATCAGCAGAATGCATTGTTAGAAAGGTAGGCAAAGTGAATCACCCGGAGTATGAGCAGTCTTCAGGATTAACTTCTGCAGTCTTGGGATTCTAGCAAGTAAGTGACTGAAACATCCCAATTTAGCTTCCTTAAATATCAGAGGTATATGAAGATGGCCCCTATTTCTTGCGTCTAGAATGATCTCCATGAACAAAATTTAGTGGTGTGAACAGTGATTATAGTTGTCATTTGGTAAATCCTTAGCTATTGTAAATACTGTAATTTCAGATAAACTTTCAAGAGAGAGGTTTTTTTAGTTGTTCATTTTGCTGATACCTCAAGTAAACCGTTCTTCTGCTAAAAGTCTCCTGGCACTTTTATGTGCAGTCAAATACGAAGAGCTGGCTTTTGCGTATACCCAAAATAAACTTGACTTCGGAACTTTGAGTTACTTACTTTAGAAGCAGCTGGCATCTAATAATGCATAGTATGTACTAGGAATCATAATCCAGCTAAAGTACAGGGATGAGACTGTAGCAGCAGATTCCATAACAAATTGCAAGTTGCTTAATACTTTCAGAAAATGATACAAAGCATTTATCATTCCTTGTTTCAAACAATCTTCCTTAAACTAAACAAAAGACTCCCATACCATTAAGTCGCTCAGAATGGAGCCCATATGGCCTTTATTTTGGTGTGCAATATGTACAGTGGGAGTGCATCAATTTTGATGTAGATGAGAACACTTGCAGAGCTTATGAAGAAATTCCATGTTTATCTTGGACAAGAACCCTAGAAAACTTGGAACTGAAGGTTTGTGCCTCAGCCCTTGTTCCTGTGCGCTGTGCGAGAGCTGGTTGATTTGGAAAAATAAATGGTATCTTGTTCTCTGCAGATTTCTCACCCCCACATTTGTAATTAGAAGACAGTGACAGACTTTCTGAAGTCTAATTTCAGAAGAAGTAACGAGCCTGTTGGAAGTAGAAGGGTCTATCTGACTTTCTGTAGGCTTAAAAACTGAGTGGGGGAAAAAAAAAAGGAGCTTCCATCTGCTTTCTAGTCATATTCTACCATCATCTAATCCATTATTTTACTGGAGAAGTTCCTGTGAAAGCTGTAGTGCAATGTGAGTTCTGCATTCTAATCAACACCATCTTCAAGTAAGAATGAAACACCACCAGAACTGCTCTGGGGCTCCTCTGTTTCTCATACCTTACTTCATGATTAACCTCATCTTGCAGAAACAGCCTTTTTTTTTTTTTGAGGACCTAGTGACAGCAGCCTTTGAAGATCTTGACTCATGGGGTTTGTTTGTTTGTTTGTTTTGCTGCTGTTCCCATGAGCGTTGTCTCCTTTCAACCCCATGTCCCCCAAGAGCAGGATCCATTCCCACTCTTGTAGATCTACTAGGCAACAATGTGGCTATTTACTCATGGTAGTAAAAATGGACCCTTCAGAGGTTTGTCTCATGAGTAAATTCTGATCCCAGTTTCAAGGTGAGTTTACTCCAGTGCATTCTTCAACCCTTACTCTTTCTGTTTAGGGCTGTACACTTTTAATAATTTGTGTGTCTGGTGTTTAATGCTGACAGGATTCCAGTCACTGGAGAGGTTTCATTGCAAGTAGCTGCAGGTGTGTTTCATGATGGATAAAAGTAGCTATTTCTTCATAAAAGGACTCTGTGTCATTTTAAAGTTTTCAATAAGAGAAATTCCTTTTGGAAGCTGGCTTTATACAGAAAAGTCAAGTTTGGGACATGTTTAAATGGAAGTTTTGTACTAAAGTATTCTGTTCTGCACAACTTTTTCATATCTAAAGAACTGAAAAGACCTATGATTTAACCAAAGGTATGACTTACATTAAACCCTGACAATATTTTTGTGACTGTTTAGTTTTGAGTTTTTATTTGGGGAAAAAGGTTGTATTTTGCCTCATTTGCCAACAAAGACTTAGTATTTTTCATGTGACACCATGGTAGTAAAACACTATTTGTCTTTTTTTAATTTCTTGTCAGTCACGGGAAAACAATTTTATACTAACTGTTTTCAGTGTTGCTGTGCTGCCACGGTAGTGCACCAAAACCCAGGCAGCGTGCTTATGTGAAAGGCAGGAAAACTCGCGTTCATTCTTGGTTTGCCTTTTCTGTGCTTACTGCCTTGTTCTGTGTTTGTCGCTGTAAAAAAAAAAGGTGTTTCTGCAGGTGCCCATGGTTCTTTGCTCTCTCTCACCCCACCTTGCTCTTTGCCTTTCCAGCAGGCTACAGTCAGCAGCAAACCCCCTCGCAGCAAGCCCAGCAGTTCCCGGCCTACAGCCAGCCGGCGGCCCCGGCCCCG